TCGTCATGACCTTTGGCCTCACCAATGCCCCCACAACTTTTCAAGCAGCGATGACGACGGAGTTTCGCGACTTGCTCGATCGCAGCGTCCTCATCTACCTTGATGACATCTTGGTTTATAGTAGGACGTTGGACGAGCACATCGTACACCTTCGCGTTGTTCTGAATCGTCTGCGACTAGCCAAGTACAAAGCGAATCTCGACAAGTGCGAATTCGCCAAGCAAGAGCTTGAGTACTTGGGHCATTTTGTCACGCCGAAAGGCATTCGTCCCTAGCGGATAAGATCCAAACCATCGTGGATTGGCCGGAACCCCGTTGCACGACGGATGTACGCTCTTTCATGGGTTTGGCTGGATATTATCAGCAATTCGTTGAGTCATACTCGAAAGTGGCCGCTCTTTTGTCGAGGGAGAGGGGGGAGGTTACGAGAAGAAGGCTGGATTATTTTATGGTGAGTGAAGAGATGGCGCAGGGCGTGACTCAAGTTAGGCAAATGTTGCACCCGATGTCGGACCATAAACCGGTGACAGCGGATATCGTAGTGCGTCAGCCCCTAGAAAGAGGGAAAGGCTACTTCAAGCTGAACGCTCAGAACTTGGATGTTCCTGGGGTTAGAGAGTGGGTGGTGGATCAAATGCAGTCCTGGCAGTCAGCAAAGACAGAGTTTTCCTCCACTGCAGAGTGGTTCGATGGGGGAGTGGCCATTGTTTCTGGGGTATTAAACATCTGCTCAAGAATCCTGGCGAGAGGTCGAAATCAAGAAGAGGAAAGGTGTCGGAAACAAGTAGAAGAGGCAGAAAGAAGGATCGAGGAACATCCTATTTCAGAACTAGTCTGGGCTACAGAACGAGAAGCAAGACTGGCTAACTGGGATAAGATCCAAGTGGAGAAACAGGTGAGGTGGGAAGAAACATTGAGGGTGAAGGGGATAATATTCCAGGATAGACTAAACAAGGATACGTTTAGAAGGCTGCTCCCCAGCACGTCATTCCACCAAGTTGTCCAACTGGACCATCCCTTCGATTCTTCTGCACCCCCGGCAACTACTCCTGCAGGCATTTTGGGATATGCAAGGACTTATTATGCAGACATTCTTAGTACAAGAAGATAGGAGGATACGGTGGACACGGACCTAGCAGAAGAGATTGACATGTGGCAAGACACAACAGTTTCGCTATCGCCGATGCAAAGACTGGCTCTTGACAGACCGGTGACTGGAGAGGAAGTGCAGCAAACATTAAAGGAGATGGCGTCAGGGAAGTGTCTGGGTAGGGATAGTCTTACTGTAGAGTTTTACAGGACCTGCTGGGAGGCAATGGGACCTGCAATGCTGGAAGTATTTAACGAAGTTCTAGAGGGAGGCAAGTTGGGACAATGCATGACACACGGAGTGATCTCGACGCTGTTCAAAAAAGGTGACAAGGCAAATGCTCGTAACTACCGTCCGATCTCAGTTTTGAATGTCAGCTACAAGATTTTGGCCAAGACATTGGCACTGAGATTAGGTAAATGTCTCCCGGAGTTGGTGGGCAGGGATCAAGGTGCATTTGTACAAGGTCGCTCCATTTTTGTGAACATTCTCACAGCAATTGAATGTATAGAAGAGATAAGGGAAGGGGACCTGGACATGGTCGTCCTGTTGCTGGACATGGAGAAGGCCTATGACAGGGTTGGATGGTCTTTCGTTCTTACAACGTTACGAAGGATGAATTTTGGCCAAGGGTTCTGTCGGTGGGTTATAGCTCTATACACGATGGCCACATCCTCAGTACAAATCAACGGTCATCTTTCTTCTCCCTTCAGGCTGACGAGATTGCTGAGGCAGGGTTGTCCCCTAGCCCCTCTACTGTTTGTGCTACAGCTAGAGGTCCCGCTAAACAGAATCCGGAAGCACCCGGCTATTCGAGGGCTACAAGTGTCTAAGTCAAAGGAGTGTCGGTCAAAGGCCCTAGCAAACGACTTATTTATCGTGTCAGAGAATTTCGAAGCTTCATTAGGCGCTGTCAAAGAAGTACTAATGGAGTATTCTCAGTTGTCAGAAGCCTTAGTCAACTGGAACAAATCGGTTTATCTGCTGCCAGCTGGCCGTCAACTACGGGCAGAGTGGGGCATGCAGCGGGTAGACCCGGTTGCTGGGGAACGCTTCTTGGGGGTTCTAGTGAGCACACAGGCAATGGGAGCAGCGCAAGGCACAGTGATCTACCAAAGAGTAGAGACGAGGCTCGGTGGATGGAGCTKGACTGRCCATTTGTCCCTTTTCGGCCGTGCCATGGTAATTAATGTRGCCYTGTTCTCYCTAATCTGGTTTATTGGGACAGTAAGGGAAATCACGAATTCTACTCTAACCAGCATCAAAAGGTTGTCGTCAAGATTCCTCTGGAAACCCAGAGGGAGATTGGATGAGGGGTTTTTGGTGAAGGTGGCATGGGATTTGGTCACCTACCCAAAAGAACAAGGTGGTCTGGGTCTGATCGACCCTCAGAGAAGAAACCAGGCAATGCTCCGAGGATGGCTGTCCAAGATTGCAATGGCAGATGAGAAGGAAGATTGGATTTTGTTGGCTGAAGGGATTTTGATGAGAGAATGGCATCTATCCAGAAGAGAAGATGTCTGGGTGTGTTTCTTCGTGAAGTCTTTTATGAAGAAACGTCTTACCTCAGAGTTCTGGGAAGCGGTACGACAGGCTTGGATAAAGCACACTCCTGAAGAGTGGTCCCCTCCACAAACGAAAGAAGAGGTCCTCCAACAGTGCCTGTTTGAAAACCCGTGCATAGTGAATGAAGAGGGCACGCAGTTCTCAGCTGGCACAGAACGTGCCACATTCGGTAGGGCTTGGATCAGAAGAGGGATTTCCAAAGTGGCGGATCTGTGGTCACAGCTGCTGGGCACCTGGAAACCAATTGAAGAGATTCAGGAGGTTCTGCATGGCCTGAGGGCGGTAGAAGCGCATTGGAGATCAATAATAAGAGCATAATAAGAGCATTGCCGACTCACTCGACTGATTTGTTGGGACCAGAGGGACTAGATGCAATAGGAACGTGGTACCTCCCACCCCAACCAGAAGACGATGGTGTAGTGGTATGGAAACTACAGGGGTTGACACAATGTGGGTACAGAGAAGTCCAAAGCTGGCGAGCTAACAGGCTGTCAGGAGAGTTACAGGTGCAAGGAGAGGAAGTGGTGCGACAGTGGAGCAATCCGGCACAGATTAGAGTATTGGAATACAAAGACAGTCAAGGGGTGATCGAGAAGGTAAAATGGGTGGGACAGGTACCACTGAACCAACTATGTATTGACCCTAAAGCCTGGAGGTGGACCGGAGGAAAGCTTGATCTGGCAAATTACTCGGTGGGAGAATCCTACAGACGGACAGCTGGCAAGGCAAGGTCCCCTGTGGACACAGCAATTAGCAGATGGGGGGCAATTCTCTCTGAAAATCTTGAAGAAAGGACAGAAGACTTTGAGAAGCTATGGGGTATCCTACTAGAATTACCAGATGTCAAGCAGGCTGGCCTGCTATGGATGTTATCTTTGCTCGTGACCCCTTCAGCAGTCTGGCTAAATGGGCGAGCTGCACCAGTCCCCATGGGATGTACCAAATGTACGTGGCCCTTTGAATCTACAAAGCATCTCTGGTGGGATTGCCCGGCTTCAAGGAGAATTTGGAACTGGTGGGCCCATCACTGGTCTCAAATGGGAGGGCGGGATGTGGAGTGGAATGAAAGGTGGGTCCTTCTGGGTTTTGTCAAGGAGGAAGAGTCTGGAAAGAGAGGATGGCCGTATGTGGCACATGTGGCCAGAGCAGCAATCTGCTCAGTTATCTGGGCGGACAGGAACAGATCCAGGTTTGAGGGTAGACCCTACTCGGATGTGGAGATAAAGTCGGCTATCAAACGCGCGCTGAGACAGGCAATCTGGGCGGACTGGCGGAGGAAGGCAAAGTGTGGAAAAGCGCCTAGGCGAGTGCTGTGGGTTGTTTCTGGGTCGTGGTCCCACTAGCAAAGAGGATTGGATCAAAGGCCTGAATCTGGACGAGTTTATGGAGATGTGCAGGAAATCGAGATTGAACTGCTTTTCTGCATCTATGCTTAAAAAACATCCAGATTCAGGAGTTCGATCCTATCCTTTTTGCTAGTGGGACCTCGGCCCCGGTGTGTGGGAGAGTGTTTACCTTAGACACTGTTGTTACTCGAC